GCGTAACAACCCGCTTGTAGTTTCCCGTATAGGTCCCGAGAAAAGAGGTGGATAAGAGTTAGCAGTGCTTTCGACGGAGTTGATAGCAAAGCTCTCTCTAATTTGCACCTGAAGGTGATTTTCTCGAGAGCTAGCCACCAGACGATGTGTATATCCAATGCACGATACTCGCCCTGAAACCCCATCTCTTTCCTATCGCCGTTGTGCAAACGTAGAGTGCAGTTATAGCTTCCCTTGATCTTTCTGCCGTGTTCCGGCTCCAGTTTAGTTTGGTATCTAAGATTATCCCAGGATATTTGACTTCGGGAGAGAGGGTAATCTCTACGCCCTTTAGTTTGGGTGGTTTAAAGGCATGCGGCTTGTACCTCTTGGTAAATATCACCATTTCGGTTTTATAAGGGTGAAGGTTCAGTCCGCTGCCTATACACCATCCTCCCTCAACTATACGGAGAGCATTCGGGAGTAAATCGCTTAATGTTTGTAGGTGTTTGCCTGTCACTGTCCGGGTGAAGTCGTCAACGTATGCCACAACACCACAATCTGTATTGGGCAGTTCCCTAATCAGCCTGTTAGCTCATAAGCACCACAGCAGGGGCGATAAAACTCAACCTTGAGGGGTGCCTCTGAGAGAAGAGGCTGTAATATGTATAATTTATTAAAGAAAAAATAAACTTCTATATTCGCGATCTCACTATAGCATAGCGTGACAAGTAAAGATTTTATAAAAGAATATTCTTGATTTTCTGGGGAGTGACAAGAAGTTTTCATATCTTGCATATATATATATATATGTGTATATAGCGCTAGGATTTATCGATAACTAATGAATGAACTACGAACGGGTACGTCGAAGAAAAATATTCATCAAACTGCAAACCTATGATAGCTTCCTACCCTTTGCCGAATCTCATATGGTTGCTTTGCTTCGCTTAGTAATTTTTTGCTGAAATTTAATTCAATTTCTATGTAAGCCGCAGAAATCCTTAAGCTAAATCAATCTTAAAGTTGACTGAAGGACAGATAAGTATGTAAGCACGATTTCATTGTCATACATATGTATGTATATCGGTACATACATGCACGTGCGAATGCACATTGAAGCATGCAACAGCGATTTCTTAACAGCTCAACCGGAAATTTTCACATTTGTCAGTTTCTCAAATTGTACTCCGTCAATTCATCGCCCTCGCGCACACGCGCACACACCGAAATTTCCACCCACACACACAAACAAACAAACTTCTCTGCCAATTCGTATACGAAATCGTATGCCATATAATAATGGATTGTTGGTGATGGCGGAAATTCTCTGAGCTCGCGGTGATTGCGCTTTAAGCAATGCAACTACAACCACCTGTGCTTGATGTTTGGCTAGGAAATGTAGAATAGCGCTGTGATTTCTTATAACCTGCAACCAATGCTCAGTAAATAACATTTTCGCACACCGACTGCAGTCGAAAAATTGTAGGACTCATAGAAATTGAGGGAGACGTAGAATGGAATAAAGAACAGAGGTGGAAGTCAATCGAAGGCACTGAATGAAAATACATATTAAATCTCAGTAATATAGAATTTATTTTATTAAAAACTAAAAAGCGTTGTATGATAATAAGACTTACATACATTTAAGCCACTAAAAATTTGCCTTTAATTTTTAAATTTATTAATTGATTCATATCAATATTTGCAGTCATTTTATTTGACCATAAACTCCACATTCTAAACATGAGGCAAGAAAAATTAAAAATTAGATTCACCCAGAAGCTTCCGCCGTTTTTTTTCCAAAATTAAAAGCTTTATTGCGAAAATGTGCTTACAGACATATAATATTATTCAAAGTATTGTCATTCGCTAGCGACAACTTTCTCCCATCTTTCCGGAAATTTTCGGATCCCGGCTCGAAAAAAGGTGTCCTCTTTTGACGCTATCCATGAAGAAATCAATTTTTCCAATTCTTCGAAGGATTGAAAGTGTTGATCTGCCAGGCCGTGTGCAATGGAACGGAATAGGTGGAAGTCAGAAGGGGCGATATCTGGGGAATACGGCGGGTGGGGCAAGACTTCCCATTTCAGCGTTTCCAGGTACTTTTTGACCACTTTTGCGACGTGAGGCCGAGCATTATCGTGTAGAAGGATGACTTTGTCACGTCGCTCTTGATAATGTGGCCGCTTTTCTTTTAGCGCGCGACTAAGGCGCATCAGTTTCGTTCGGTAGCGATCTCTTGTGATGGTTTCACCCGGTAGTAAATCACACCGAGCTGATCCCACCAAATACAAATCATAACCATGGTTGTCTTCGACATCGAAATCACCATTTTTAAAACGTTGAAATCACTCCCGACACGTTCTTTCACTCAGAGCAGCATCACCGTAAGTTTCTGAGAGCATTCGATGCGCTTCAGCTGCATTTTTTTTTTTCGAATTGTAACAGAAAAGTAAAACTTCCCGCAAAGAATTAGGCAAGAATTAGGCAAATAAACAGACATTTTCGAGCCTGAATAATACGAAAATAAGAGCAACTGTCACTGAACGGCGATGACAATTCGTTATGCACTGTCCACACTCACTTTAATGGCATTATCATCTATGTATTTCAACCAGCCTCAGCCGGTACAGCCACCTATCGGAAAACGGCGAAAGCAAAGTTGTACACCTGATAAATTTATAATTTCAAACAGATTCCTTTTCAAAAACATATTCTTAATTCCTCTTAAATATCATCATTTGATACCCATATCATTTATTACATTAATTGTATTTAAAATTTTAAACAATGGCATTCCTAAAAATTATTTTTATTTTATATCCTCAATTTAATTTCATTGAAAATTCCAAGCATGTGGCACCTCTTTCCAAATATTACGCTACCATTAAGTTTTTTAAATCACTTTAAACCTATAGCCGCTCCGCTAAAATACTTTCTCATTAAGACTCTCTCTAATTTTTTTTGTTTGATACCCATATTATAATATTTCATTTATTCCATTGCTTTTTCAAAATTAAAAACTCATGACAGGAGATAGGAGGATCTTTCTTCTGTCCACTTAAACATATACCCAAACTCCTGTTAGAATGGGTTCAGCATGAGTTCAGTCATTGACGACCACGGAAGGTTTTATATATACATATAAGAATTTCAAAACAGGTGAAAAATACCGAATTGTCTTGCATCACACACAAAATTTCATCTAATTAAAATAGGCCGGGTAGGTGGAGTTTAGTCAGAATCATACTTATCGAATATTTGTTTAAACATATAAGAAACTTATAGGTATCATGCAATGCAAATAATAGACTGAATACGCTTCTGTTATTTAAATATTGGGATATTCGATAACTGACGTGATATGTGGCATATCAGATTAGGTAAATTTTTTACAGTGGATGGCTTTTGTAATCTGTCAAGGCATCATTCTCTCCTTGCTCCCCTATATCCAAACCCTCAATTTGGACCTGTAAGGTCAGCAATTAGATCGTCCAAAGTAATTAATCGCCCAAAAGCACCCAGCTTTGGCAAACAACCGAGGAAGGCTACGCTTAGTTGGGAGCCTCTTATGCGTCTACTTTATAGTCCAGACCTCGCACCAAGTGATTAATAACGAAAACTCTTCATACTGCTCTTCCAATTACTACGAAGACTCGAGAGATAGCAAAAAAGCTCGACATACCGCAACCAATTGCTGCTTGTACTTACAATAACTTGGTAAATTTACTTTGAATGAAGTGAATGTTTCTGTTGTTAATGAAATATAGAAAGTCCACCTGACCAACTATTTACCGAAATAGTCAGAAGAAATTAAACCCGACAATAACTTTTCGTGTTATTCAACAATTCTCAAAAGACTTTGGCATAAGGCAATCGAGTGTAAAACTTTTAACAATTTTCCCTTTAAGCTGTGATCTTTCGAACTGGTGACCGAAAGCATTATACTTCGAGAACCGCTCAATAGTTATTACTAAAATTTATAAAGCTCCGAGGAAAATGTCTGAGTCAAGAAAAAGAGTCTTCAGTCAGTAGATTATTTATTCAAAGAACTTGAGAATTTCAAATTTAAAAAATTGTAAGCGACTATTAGTTTTTCATATCCCTGATTATGACACATATCTAAAAGAGATCTTAACGTGTAATGAAAAACATATTTTCATACGAAAACGTAGGTCGAAAACGAATAAACAAAGCGAAATTATACCTCACATATATTTTGCCAGAAAAAAAACTATTTTGTCTATTACATTAAGAAGGAAAACTTCTTGAACTGATCAATAGCACAAGCGTGATATTCCATCATGGTAACGGCAGACCCTCCAATACCTTGGACACCTGCCAAAAATTAATCAAGAGAAAATTGAAACTACGAAACCGTTTGAATGTCTGAACTTTCGATTATATCAGATCGGTCCATTTTTTTTGCTTAAAAAACCATAAATTCTTTCAAGATAGATTTTTTAACTTTCTTAAAGAAAACATAGGTTAAATAAAAAACTCGTATAAGGTTAACTTTTTACCTGGTATTTTTGTATAAGTTTAATTAGATGTTGCTACTGATGCGGGAGCGTCTCATTTACGCCAGAACAGATCATGGTATTTGCGTAATCAGATTAGCTACTGCTCGCCATGTAAATCCATTTATTTCAGACCTGCTCTTAAGTATATTCTTTTGGAAGCATTTTCCACATAGCAAAGTTATACCAATGCGTCCTCTATCATGAAGAATCTGCTAGCAAATTCATCTGCCTCTGTGACCTCAAAATTATTATCACTTTTGGTTAGAAAAAATGTAACGAATTGGATTTCCTGAACAGAGCATAAAATTTGCTGATATTTTTTAGTCGAGAACGGAATTAATTTTAATTTAAAACCAAAAAGATATATATACGCACTTATATATTATTTAAAACTATGTTTTCCTCATATATTGAATATATCACATGAGATTGACTAAATCGCATTTAAAAAAATACTTTAAAAAATGCATAATAATATTAAACTCTTTGTTACAGAACTACGATTACCGCCAAAACCAACTACGACACCAACACCTTACGTGCACACGACACCGAAACCACGTCGCAAACCGCCAGTCAACCATCAGAACAAAGGGCTCAATGAAGTGGTGCGCGCGAAGGAGACACATCACGCCACAAATCAAATGCAGGAGAATGACATCTTCGCAGGTCTGAGTGGCACCGGCGGCGCCTTCTTCGGTAGTGCTAACACTCTAAGTAGCAATGGGGCGTTGGGCGATGCCGCAGGTGCCGCGCTGGGTAATGGTAACGCCAACAGTAACAGCCACGCCAACGGTAACTTCAATACTTTGAGTAACGGCTTGATAAACGGAGCGGAAGGTAAGTAAAAAAGCTTGTAATTTGTTACAATGTGGGAATACTTCCAAACATGTATGCGAAAGGGGTGTTCCGACATTCCGGCAGCTGGTGAAGTGGCCCAGTAAAGATGCAGAAGTGTGCGTCAGCTCGAGCGTTAAACTGCTAAAATGTACAAACATTCGTTCCCATATGGTTATGCGCATATGTAAGTATGTATATACATACAAATTTTAACAATTGCTTACCATTAGATATGTGGCTAATTCAAAGCAACGAAATGTTGCAATGCTCAAGACTCCACATTTGAAATCTCAAAGATGCCTGCCCTCAGTTATGCGCTCGTATTGTACGTGTATGCAACCGAGTGACGTTGCATTCACCACTCAATATCGTCATTGACGTAATTTGGTGGCTGAATGCTTCGTTGCATCCCTGCGTCAATGCTTTACAACATTACTTCTTGTGGCGGCTGACTTTCTAGCTCACTGCACGTCATCCGCTTCACTCGCCATTTCGACACTCCTCCACGCACGGCACAGGAGCGACGGCACTACCAACCCTAGCAAAATCTAAGAATGTGCCGTTGTCATGTTGTGCAGCAAAGCGAGAAACATTGATGTTGTCTTACATCCCTATGGTCTTGGAAAGCAGCCAAGTGGTATTAAGTTGTGAAGCAAAAGTAGCACATTTTCTACTTCCATTTTACTTATGCTTCAAAATAAAATAAATTTTCCAGCAGGTAGTTTCAATTTTTGCTGTATTCGAGTGTAAAATTCTGAAAACGGTTTTGCTGTATAACTAACTGTATTAGAGAAAGAGTGTTATGATGAACAGGAAAACAAAGTAATTTGCCGTCTTCAAATGTCACCAAGGACATTAGTCCTGATTGTTTCCACCGAATCTTAAAGGATGATGTGTAAGCACTTATACATACTCACATAAAGGGTGTAAGTAAATTCCAGTCGAGAATTCCAATTTTCGATCCATAAATGTCAACAATAACGTGCCGATTATTATTTTCCAAGGCATCAATCGTCTTCGGCCTATCTGTGCAACCAAGCGACTTGACATATATATATATATATATATATATATATATATAAATGTAAAAAAGCATTCAGGTGCTCGGAGGCGGCTTAATATAAACTGTAGATCCATTAATTTGTTGGAAAAACATCAAGACGCAAAACCGCAAATTGGAGGAAGGGCTTGGCCAAAACTTGCCACAGCGCTTGCAATCATATGTATATATATATATATATGATTGCATATGATTGTATATATATATATATATGATTGCAAGCGCTGTGGCAAGTTTTGGCCAAGCCCTTCCTCCAATTTGCGGTTTTGTGTCTTGATGTTTTTCCAACAAATTAATGGTTGTTTCGTTGGTTGTATGACATGTAGCGCCGTCTTCTTGGAACCAACAGTTGTCCACATCATCATCATCTCATAGAGCACACGAAACAGTGAAACATTTTTCGATGATGTAATAACAATGGCTTATGGAATTCATGACTCCAAATGTGACAATTTCCCATTCATCGTTTCATCATCCGATTTAGTCTAGTTTGCCCTATTTGTAAACGTTGTTCTTGAATAAAGTCTGAACCAAACTGAGTTTAAATCAAATAAGAGCTATCAAAAAGAGAAACTTCGAAAAAAGTGTTGACTTAATGAAAACTCAACGTCTAAAAAAATACATTATATGTTCAATATATAAGAAGAATGTAGCAAGTTCGCTACAGTCTATACTTGATAAATTTAGTAAGATAGGTACAATAGAGATGTGACGATGCACCTAGGCTTTTATGAGCCCCATTGCGTAACCACTGGGCTTAACATCCCCTCACACCCAATACTCTTTAGTCTTGATAAAAATATTTAACTCGAAAAGTTGTATATGTGAAATTTCCAAGGTACCAGCAAAAAACTTTGACCGATAGTTACGAATCTTTTCCTATACAAAAGCTTGCATTCGTTGTTTCATCTGCACTGTTTTTTTGTCCTTTCCAAATTATATTTGCCAGTCAGTAAAGTAAAAAAGAAGATTATTCACATCCAAATGGAAGACGGTACACAACAAAATAAATAAGTTTTATTTATTTATTTATTAAATTATGAATATTCGAAGCTAATTTTGGAAAATAAGCCTAACGCCAAAAAAAAAAATTAATGAAAACGTTATCTTCCAAATTAAAAGGGCTATTTTTTTCTCGCAACTTCTTACCATACCCGTTTTTACAATTTTTTCTTCATCTTCAATGAATTCCAGACCTAAAATAAGCCTACCCATTTTGGTGTTTATGTTTTCTGAAACTAACAACACAAAATCAAACAACAGATTCTTTTGTTACCTCCTATTTCGCTGGTAACAAAATTTACTGGGTGAGAGTGAACTCAGAATAGGAATTAGGAACAAAATTTACTGAATGGTAAATTTTAAAGCCAACGTAAATTTTGTTACCTCGACAGAATAGGCCTGTAATTGTAACGCATAATCTGGCATGCTCATGTGCATAAGAGTTACCTGGAATATCTCTGTATCCTGAAATCTATTCAAGGTCCATCGTAGGGCTAGTAGTTCTCTATTTTTAAAGAGGTCCTGAGAGACTTAATTTTTTCTAAAATCGCTTGGCTTTCTGTTTAAATAAATAGATTTCTTGTTTCAAGTACTTTTTTGATAGAACCGAAAGGTTTGCTCCTTGACATTGATCTCCACTTAGGATACACTGCAGTGCTCTGGTAGTCGGAATATAGCTTTTATAGATAATTTTACTGAAAAGATGCCACTCTATGTTGTTTTTTGGTTTGGATGCGTCCATTACGTGAGAGAAATAAAAAATAAATACAATAATTGTCATAAAATCTTTTAGATTAATATGAGACTTTAAAGGAGCTTTACGTACATAAGTTATCATGCTGTAAGATGAAATGTGCAAAGAATATACCTAAACCTTCCCCAAAAATCATAAGTATATGTAGCGTTTATGCTTTTTGAAATTAAGTTCAGCTACTTTGATTTTGATAAATATTTATTAAAATATAAAATTATAAAAATCACAGTGAAATAAAACTTATTGAGTTAAGGAGAGTGTAGCTAAACGTCTCCGTAGCCTTTGCTGGTTCGCCAGAGAAGAATAAGAGAAATAAGAATTCGTGGAAGTAGAGCGGTCAAATGAGTGCGAAATGTCAAGTTGATTATGGGTCGCTCTGCACTAAACATATTAAGCTGGTATTCAATACGAGATTATGCGTTACATATGTTTATACATATGTAGAGACTTTAGTCGCTACACACTCCCCTTGTTTGAGAAAAGAAGCTATAATAGGCATTACAAATTATTAATTACATTGAATATTTGAGAAAAAAATTCAATTTAAATTCACAATCATGTTAATATAAATATGTTATAGATTAAGAAATACTAAATTTAACTAATACGTTTTCCTTAGTTGTTGACAATATAGCGTCGACTGAGTTCTGAGTTTGTAAGTCCTCATTCGCAAAGTAGACTGGCATCAATCTGTCTACAGATATTGCTTTGGGTTTCCCTTTGTAGTTCACCATGAAGTACTTATCATGCCGTGATATTACCTTGAAGGGACCCTCATAGGGCGGTGAAAATGAAATTTCGATGTGATCGTTTCGGGATAAAACGTGAAAGCAGGTGTTGAGGTCCTTAAAATAAAAAACTGAACGCTTGCCATGTCGAGACATTTCCGTGGGTGATAAATTTTGAAAATGCTTCTTTGGTTCTCCGTAAACAAGCTCAGCAGGAGTAGTGTTTATGTCTTCTTTCCACGCAGCGCGAAGGCCAAGGAGTACAGCTGGTAAAGCTTCGTACCAACTGTTGTTGTGACACAATAGCGCTGATTTCAGTTGTCGATGGAGACGTTTACGAGATTGCCTCCGGGAATCTTGTAAAACAGTCGATTATTAAGAGGCACTGGTTGAATCCACAGGAAGATGGCAAAGATACTAAATCGATATGTATGTGCTCGAAGCGTTGTGATGGTGATTGGAAATTTGCTATTGGCGAAGATACATGACGCTGTACTTTATTAAGCTGACAGTTGATACATGCTTTGGCCCATCGACGGCCAAACGTAGCGTTGACTGACTAACTTTTGAGATGCTTTGATACCCGGATGTGCTAAAGAGTGCAGTGAATCAAAAATTCTTTTCCTCATTGCTGCGGAAACGTATGGTCTGGTGGGACCGGCTGATATGTCATAGTATAATGTGGGTTCGTTTGGACCCAAATGAATTTTTTGTAGGTTCAATCCTGTATTATTAGTTGTGATTAGTCGTTGAAGCTCACTGTCATTTTGCTGTGCATATGGGAGTTCCTGAGCAGAGACTGTAGTTGCTGGGTCTTCCAGGCGCGAAAGTGTGTCGGCTACAATATTATCGTGGCCGGATACATATCTTATGTCCGAAGTGAACTGGCCTATGAAATCGAGTCTACGGAACTGCCATGGCGAAGCTCGTTCTGTTCGCTGCTGAAATGCATGCTGCAAAGGTTTATGGTCTGTATAAATAGTTACAACACGACCTTTGAAAATATGGCGAAAATGCCTCACGGCTTCGAATATTGCGTGTAGTTCGCCGTCATAAGCAGACAGCTTTTGAATAGATGGCGGCATCTTCTTGCTAAAAAATGCCAATGGTTGCCAGTTGTTATGAACGTATTGCTGCAGCACTGCTCCAACTCCATAGTCTGAGCCGTCTGTGTGTCAATGTGCTTCAACGCTTGGATGTGAAAGTAGGGTGACATTTGCGAGACAGTTTTTTGCTTTCTGAAACGTGGTCTTTTGTTCTTCGGTCCAGTTAATCTTCTGAGAGCCCTTGACAGCGGTGGCCTCCAAAATTTTGTTTTTTGACAAGTGCGTATTCCTGAAGTCACTTAAAAAGAACTTCCAGGTGTTGAAGATGTTCCGCTTCGTTAGCTGATGCGACTAATATGAATTCTATATAAGCAATTATGAATGGTAAGTCACGAGTCACCTCATCGACG